AAACCCTAAACCCTAAACCAATGACTTTCCATGTGGCTTCGGGCCTAGGGGCCCTGTCGCTGGTTACGGTTTCTCTTAAAAGGAGCTCCCAGAAGGTAAGTTTAGGAGTTTAGGGTTTTCGGGTTTAGGGGTTTGGGGATTATAGGGGTTTAGGGTTTAGGGTGGTAATTTTGCTCACCTTCCAGGGAGAGTAGAGTAGGTCGAGGGCTCTTAGCTGCGGGATTGTTTAGGCATTGGGGTTCATGTATAGACCCACGTGTAGTTAGAAAGGTTTGCTATACGGGCTACTTCAAGCCAAAGGCTACAAGCTCAGGGTTAAGGCAAATTGATCGAAAGACATGGTGCAGTAGCAAGGCTCGCACGGAACAAAAAACAGGGACAACTGGGCTTCAACGCATCAATCGTGACGTAGTGGAGCAGACCAGGATAGTCTACCAACGAATTACACGTGAACTAAGCAATCAGAATAGAGAACAGGGGGCCACAGAATGCAGCAGCACCGTCTTTTTTTTGGGGGGGACCCTGCAAGAAGTTCCTGTGAGTAGTTCAGGATAAATCGACCCTTGACCGACTGCGGGGCCTGGCGCCCCTGAGGAAATCGGAATTTGGGTTTGAGCGGTTTTGCGTTGGGGGTTTACGGTTTAGGGTTTAGGGTTTAGGGTTCAGGGTTCAGGCTTAAGGGTTAAGGGTTTAGGGTTTAGGGTTTAGAGTTGGGGGTGGAGGCCTTGAGGCTTCAAGAGCTTGGGAGCCTAAGCCCTAAACTATGCCCCAAGCCGGAATCCCTCCAAACCCGAAGCCCGAAACCCACTGTAAGCCGGCACCCAAAGACTCCAATATCCCTTTATTAAGGAAAATGCCTTAAATCATAAAAAAGAACCTACTATAATTTAAGGAGTATTCCTTAAGTAAGGGATATTGGAGTCTCTGGGCATAGGAGAGTGTCTTCAACGAGATGGGGGCGGCGGCGAATGTGGTTTGCCTCGCGCGGGACTGCTCAGAAGCTCATGCAACCCGTTCTGTCTTTTGTGGAGATCGGCTTAAGGCCTGATTCCTAAACCAAGAACCCTCAAAGCCTAGGCTAAGGCCTGGAGTTTGAATTTCAGGGATTCGGATGAGGATGTAACTGGGGCTATGGCTTCAGGGCCTCATAGAAGGCGGTAGTTCATGACAGTGACCAAGCCCCGTGCTGACACACACACACAGAGACAGACAGAGACAGACATACACACACACAAAGCTTTCAGGATATGGGAAAAGGCGAAGCCTAAATCTTCAAGACATGAGTTAATATGAGCAACATGTCAGATGCGTGGTGCTTTCTTTCTTAGCATTCTGGAGCTAGCGACTGTAACAGGCACTAAACCTGCCTAAGCCCTATATTTCGAACCCGCAGGCCTCACTCCCACAGGGCCCTAGGATCCATTTTCCCCCCTCAACCAAAGTCTGAAACCCCAAAATCTGAATTCCAAAAACCCCAGAACTGTGAGGAGCCTTGCCTGCTGTGGCAGCGTGAGAGTCGAAACCACAGAGCCCCAAGCAAGATCTCATGAAGGAAGCTTACCCCTAGGGCTCCAAGTGATGAAATAGTACCGACTTTGGCGTCTAAAGTCTGTAAATAGTACCTACATTGGGCTATTTGGAGTCCCAGGGTACTTGGAGAGCCCCGCAAGTGCCACAAGCCCTCAGAATCACCCTACACCCTAAACCCAAAACAAGGTTGGGAACCCTAAACCCTAAACCCAAAACAAGGTTGGGAGCCGTGGCTCTGGTGGGGTCCCGAGAGCCGTCTTCACTTTGCAGGGTCTGTGTTCGGTTGTTTTTCCCGCGGATGCTACTACAGTCGGTGAATATTGAGGGTTTAGGGAGGCTTTGTGAGGATTGTCTTGGTCGGGCTTTGGACTGACTTGGGGTTTCATCAATCTGGTAGGCCTTCCTTGTGTTTTCTAGGACATGCGATTGAGACGGGTTGGGTTCAACGGAACGTGGGGTTATCGGGTTTGTATCCAAAGAAGCAGAAGGTAGTAGCTCTTCTGGAGCGTTGGAAGAGCCCTGAACCCTCCCTAATGAAACCATAATCTGTTATATTTAGGGTTTAGGGTTTAGGGTTCAGGATAGTTAGTTATATCCCAAGACCCTGTTCCAACTAGACCCCTGTATGAGCCACCCAGCAACGGGCCGGCTCTCCAGTTTGGTTTTTAAAGCGCACTCAGATTGGGAGGGCCCTTGGGATCGTGATGTGTGGAACGAAGGCTTGGAGCGACTTTCCTAAACCCTAAACCCTAAACCCTAAACCCGAAGCATAAATTTCAGGGGTTTCGAGGGTTCGTCTTCGCTTGGGCACACGTTCGGGGCAGAGGGAGCTCCCGGGCGACGAGGCAAGCCCGCTGCCTAAGGGCCTCGATAGCAGCCGCAGAGTTTTAGGTTCCGTTTTGGTGGTCAGCGATTGCTGTTGTCTAAGTCTTGAATTACATCCTTCACCAAAACCCTAAACCCTAAACCCTAAACCCCCTAAACCCTAAACCCTAAACCCTAAACCGTGTGCACAGCGTGGGCCTTTGAGTGCAGGCTTGTTAGCAACCGCTCCTCTTTGCAAGCCTCAACTGCTCTCAACCTGAGAGTCCTAAGGGGTTTAGGGTTTAGGGTTTAGGGTTTAGGGTTTAGGGTTTAGGGTTTAGGGGTTTAGGGTTTAGGGTTTAGGGTTTAGGGTCCTAGTCCTAAGCTCCTGAACCCTACGAAGCCTCGAAGTCGAAACTCTAGCCCGTCCCAGCTGCTGAGGCATTGCCTGCCGTGTTCACAACCATCCCAGGAACTTCAAAGCAGGACCTGGTCCCTCGCGACATAAGGGAGTTTCCGAAAATTAGGGGTACCTTATTTTGGGGTCCTTATAATAAGGATCCTATTATTTGGGGTACTATATTAGGGTCCCCTATTTTCGGAAACCCCCCATAAAAAGGGGCTTCACAGTTGCTGTACCTGGGCTTGGCGTCCTTATAACGACAGAGGCTCCCTGCATGTGGGTGTTTCATACCAGAACTTAACTTTAACGGCCAAATCTATAGGTCCCTTGGTTCAGGGTCAAGATCTTCATAAGGGGTCTGATATCCCCTTATAACTTATATAGTCCTTGTAGAAGTACAATTAAGTGCAATGTAATGTAACCCGCAACCGAGTTCTACGGCTTGAGGCGCCTATGTGTGGGAATCGCGTGTGTTTCGAGGTGTTGTAGGCCGGCGCGGCTCAGATAAAATCACCAGTTGTTGTCGCAGTCAATAACTTCATAAAGTGTCAACGAAAGCCTTGCCATCCGTCCAAACACAGCAGAGCAAGGCTGACATCCCAATTTCTTTTGAAGGCGTGGTGTCGAAGTGCTGGTTTAAGAGAGAGACTGTCGGATGTAAGGTTCAGCTTCACCCCCTTAAACTAAACCTACAACCCAAAACCCGCTTGCAGGATGTTTTGGAGGTCTCTCGCGCTTCCTCGGGCGTTGTTGCTGCAGCCCTGCACTTAGCCTCGGGGACCGCTTCGGGTTAAGACTTCCAGCTGCGAGCATCTAAATCCCACGACCATAGCCTCCTCAAGCCCTGAACCGTACCCCCAGATGAATCTTAGAGCCTTTCTCCCATCAAACCTTTCTCTGGGTTTTCTGGCGGTTTTCGGTCTCGCCTTAAGAGTTTTTACCTTCCCGGCAAATTCGCATCATCCATGGGGAAGGCAGAACTGAAGGCAATATGGACGTGCAAAAACCTTGCCGAGGCTAGGCGTTTAAAGTGTTTGAGCCGCATCACGGCCAGAGCAAAAGACGTGCTGGTGCTACATGCATTCCGGGCAGAAGAAATGCCTGCTAGAGGGCCCAATAAATTACCGCAGGGTTCCTTATTCAAACACAGTAGGACATGCCCCCAAGGCCTAGTCTACTTCATTAAGGCCCCTATACTACACTGAGGCTTACATCTGCTTTCTGGTTTTTCAGCTCTGCACCCACTCGGAGATGTTTGCCGGGGAGGAGGACGACGACGAAGAGGCACGGGCTCTTTGGGAATATTCTGGCATAGAACTGAATATGGCAACCTGAGTCTTCACTTCCCCTGACAACTTGCAGCAGAAAGCCCTGCCTTACTAGAATGACTTTTTTAAAAATCATGTTTGCCCAATCGTTAAACCTGCTTCAACCTGCTTGTTTTGCAGGCTCCCTAGAAATCTTATTATGGGGTCCACACGATCTGGTTTTCTTCCTGTAGGATGGGTGCCCAATCTGATAGCATTCTGAGGTGGCAAGAGTCTTGTGGCGTTTTAGGTCGTAAATGAGAGATTCAGAAACTTAGGGGTCTAAAGGAAAAGGATGTGACAGTCGCAAAACGCCATGACATGATGATATCTAGCACCATACTGACGACACGGAAGACTTGACCAAGCCACAAATCTTGAACCCTAAACCCTAAACCCTTCAACCCAAACCGCATAGAAGGCCTGCGGCCCCAAGCCTTAAGCAAAAACCCTGACCTGCCTGGTGCGACGGCGGGAGTCGAATCCCCAACCTAAACCCTAAACCCCAAAGCC